TGAAGATTGGTGTTTTTTTTTTTTCAAACCATTTGGATTTGACAAAAGAACTGTATACGGTTAATAAACAACTTTTAAGTTCTGGAGCATTAAAATTATGTGAAGCTCATGTTATGAAGGGCGTGTTTTGGGCAGCTTATAAATGCGGACGGTGTTTCAAAACGCCGCCTTACTATTTGGAAAACACGTTTCGACAGTTTATCTAAAAACACGACTGGATTTTTATACTAAACGCATGCCGCCTATGGGACACGTTTCAGAATAAATTGTTTATGTGGATAAGCACAAGTTTATCCAGGTAAAAAATAGTGTTTTTTTTTAACCATTTAGACTTGACAAACAGCTTATATGGTTAATATTAAGCTTTTTAAGTTCAGAAGTAATAAAATTATGCGAAGCTCGCGATACGAAAAAGGAAGAAAAATAACAGCAGCAAAATATCAAGTGAAAAAGAGCAGAAAGGCCTCCTCAAACCGGAAAAAAATTGCGTACATAAGATGTACGCAACGCTGCGTGCGATACCCAATTAGAGGAAGACACATCAACTTCGTCGGCCCCAACTTAAAACAAATAGACTTTTTACCGCGCGTGACCCGTTGACCCGACCCGCCATTATAAACTCCATGTAACCCCGGTGTAATCTCCGTTGTCACCCCCATATAACGCGCGTATACACTTGATGTAATACCGGTGTAACCTCTGCGCTCACCCCCCCCTGTAACATGGTTGTACACTAAATGTAACCCCGACGTAACATCAACGGTCACGGCCCTAAACGCGCGTGTACATTGGATGTAACCCAGGTGTAAGTTCCGCGGTAATGCCCCTGTAACGCACGTGTACTCTTGTTGTAAAACCGGTGTAACATCCGCGATTAGGTTGTACCGCGCATGTAACCCGAATGTAATCTTCCTCTAATGTCGTCCACGCGGAATCGTCAATGTACCCCTTGTGTAACTTCAATGTAACAGTGAGTTACACAAATTGGAGCGCTGGAATCATGGTATTTAAACAGCTAGGGTTACTGTTCTATTGTTCTCTGGTCATTTTATTCTGCAGCGACGACTTCCGACAGCTGGACTTCTCGAACTTAAAGATGGATTACGAGTACAGAGATTGCAAGTTTGTGTATGATATAGAAGGAGAAGATGAGAGTTATCCTGTCAGGAAGGATGAAGTGGAACTTAAATCGAAGGTGTGTTTGGAGATGTCTTCTTATTATATTTTTTATTATATTTTTTTAGGGCTTTATTCAATGTTGTTTGTTGTTAGGGCTTTCTTATTTTTGAACTTATGTTGGTAGAGTTGCATGGTATTAGGTTTAATAAAAACAGTGAAGTAAAGATTGAAGTAAATATTATATCCGACATTTAAATTCAGTAAATATTAGATTGAAGTAAACTGTTGCTTTGCACTGAAATGCCTCTAGGCATTACAACATGTCATTTACTAAGGTCAAATTCAAATGCTTCCCCCACATCGCTCAGAAAATGTTTAATCTGCATAATTATATTTAGAAATGAATGAACAAGACCATAGAAAATACATAACTAATAAACAATGCATACTTACAATGGCATCAGTTATATGCAAATGCATTCTGTTGGGCAATGAATCATATAATCTCTCTTTGCAATCCTTTATTGATTCAACAAGCAGTGTCCAATGCTGATTATTGATTATTGGTAACAAAATTAACTCCACATTCTTAGTGGTTTGCTTCGTAATGTGCTCCACAAAATCATTTATGTTCCCTACCTTGTACAACTGCAGAGAAGGATATATATGACATAAAAACAATTAGTAATTAAAGAAATATTTGGTTGTACGATTACGACACATGAATTTCAAAATTTACAAGTGACATGAAAACACATATAGGTAAGATCTGCATAGTTCTGGATTATTGCTCCTCTTATGCTCCATTAACATAGCGAAACAATCGACATATTCGTTTTTTAAACCACCCGTTCATGAGTAATCTATCAAGATAACATCGGGTTAACGATACATGTCCCATATCATTTATTAAGGCACCCCTGCATTTCAAATAATTAAATAAGATTAGAAATAATTAGAAAAGTAAAAGATAAACAGTAATTAAAATTTTATATTTACATGTCAGTAAATTTGTTACAACAAATATTGACTGCTTCCTGCATATAATCTGGAATTTATTCTCTAGCAGGAAAATCTACCGTAAGTGTTGATGGACATACCTATAAGCAAAACACAAACACTGTAAGATGAAAATATCTAAGCATTCCGTTTGGACACTTCAAGGAAGTGATATATACCTTATTAGAGTAGTCTTCATCAACATAATGCATGTCATCTTGTTCTTGATCGTCATGTTTATTAACAGTGGTGTTTGGAGAACTTCGTCAGCTACTTTACTATGTACAGTTGTATGATCAGAATTAATGTCATCAGTTGTGACTTGTTGATCGACTTTTATTTACTTCCTCTGTACGTACAACATCAATCTGTTAAATAAGAAATATTATTAGTTAAGTTAATAATGAATAACTTTTAAGGATAATGCATAGGTGCAAAGCTTCAACCTCTTCAGGCTCTTCAACCGCTTCCTGAGTTAATTTTTGTCTCTTCTTCAATTCAAATACCATAAATGGAGAACTGAGAGTACTTTTTCTTCTGCCCTATCTTGCCTTAATTCTATGAATTAGGCTCCCTAGCGGATACTCTTTCACTCATTTAGTGGGTAATGTCCCAACAGGTTGTTTTAGTGTTTTATTTATTTCTTTAACTTCAGATTTTAAATCTGTCATTGTATTTTCCAGCTTTGTAAGATGATTATGAACTGAGATTTAAAATTTCAAGAACAGTTTATGATGATCTTTGAGTAATTCATGAATTTCTTCAAATCCAATGTTAGAGGTAGTAATGTTAGAGGTAGTATGTTGATATATGTTGATACTTATCATCATGTGGTGGAGGACTGATATGATAAGGAACTATAACTTCAACATTATCAATGAATGCAGACGACTTAGTTGGGATAGAACGTCCCTTTGTGGGAGATGTTGCTCAGGAATAGATGGTTCTTGAAATGGAGAGCCAAGTAGATGATGTTCGCTATCTTTAATTTCAAGAAAATAATAAAAAACCTGCAAGACATTACATATAATCAAAATCAATGAAAATATCACGTGAACATAACAAATTATATGGAATAAAGAACTAAATTGCTAACCTCGGCAGATCTAAGCCTCTCAAAGGCTAGCTGAATCGTCACAGTATTTCACCTCACATTTGACCACCTCAGCATTCTTGGTCTAGCCTAAGGCATGCTGGGAGGATCAAGGAAGTATGCTCATAAAACCAGATCTGCGTTAAACATGATGAATTATTTTAAAATTGATTAAATGAACTTTCAAAATTTATTGGTAGATCACAAACCGATAATAGAAATACAAAACCATTGATGTAACCCAGTGGTTGATCCTTTTTAATTTTAGTGACACAAACATTAAGTTGCATCTGCATAAATCCACATAATGTTGCTGACCAATTGTACGCTGCAAAGGTATCTACATTCTCGCAAATAGAAGACAATTCTTTCAAAACTTTAAAGTTGCTTGAAGGAAAAAAGCAAATTTGAAATTAAAAACTTGATTATTAATTGCAAAAGGTTGTGAGATGACTCCCCTGATGAAATGTTGAGCAGGGCAGTCTTTATTTGTCTTGCATCCATTGTATCAGGAGAAGCATCGGTCCAGAATGCATGAAATCCTCTATTGGGCATGCCTAGCAGTAATGCAACTTCACTTCATCATACACAAATTTGACCTCTTTCCCTCCCAAATTGAATGCCATTCAATCAACATCCCAATGTGCATCTTCAGAATATTGTCCTGAGGGTACAGAGAGAGTTCAAAAAATTGAGTCAAACTCATGGCTTCCAATTTATTCTGTGTCTTCATCGACTTTTGGTCGGACCTTATCGAGAATCTCTCGTACTGCAGATGGACGACATCTACAATTCATTGCTTTTGGGTTTAAAATCCTATAACAATACATGAGAATAGTTTAGTATCATCTATATATCCGTTTTGCGACATTAGAGTTTCATTTAAAATTCATTTAACACCATTAAGCAAGCTTCGATAAATAAATAAAAACAACCACAATAATAAAAAAAATAGAATAACTTTTACTGTATTAAAAGTGATATATAACCTTGGACGATATCATTGTTTTGCTTCATAATCACGGACACGATATCACCATTTAAAAGAAAACAACCACAATAATCTAATTAATACCTAGAAACGGGAGGACTGTCCTCCTTCTCGGACTGCTTACGGCCGGCCTTAACCGTAACGGTTGCCTGCTCGCATTTCGACTGGTTAGCCTCACCCAAATCCGCACCATTGGTCTCTTCCAAGGTCTTCGTAGCCTCCTCCTTATCCTCCATTATACTCTTCCCTCACAATAGCAAAAACCCTAACCTTGAAAAAGAACATGATGAAAGAACCTTAGCAGCGCGAATTTCTTTTTTTTGAATATGATTTCTTACCGTGTGATTTTTTTAATTTTTACCAGGGTAAATAGATTATAAGGAGTTACGTGAGGGTTACATCGCAGTTATACCAATATTACATGCGCAGTTCCATCGGGTTATATGAGCGTAATTCGCTGTTACATTGAAATTACATGAAGGGTACAATGGTGATTCCGCGGAGACGACGTTACACGGACATTACATTCCGGTTACATGCTCGGTATAGTCTCCAGGTTACACCAGAGTTACATATAATGTATATCCAGTGTACATCCAGGGGACTGACTGCGAAGGTTACACCGGTTTTACAACAAGAATACACACGCGTTATCACAGAACTTATACCGAGGTTAAAGTGCGAATGTTACACTGGTATTACATCAAGTGTACACGCGGGTTTACATAGGGGGTGACAAGGGAGTTACATGGGGGGCCCTTAAAAAGTCTATTTGTTAAGGTGGGCCGCACGCAAGACAGGCAAATTTTTTCCGCTCAAACCGCCGTTATCACCCACTATCCTTCTGGAAGCGGAAGTGTGACTCGCGTTCTCTCCATTCCGTTTCGACTTTCAATCTTTACTGATCGGATCGATCGCCATCGATGGCGGTCTCCTCTCTTCTCTCTTTTGTCTCCGCCTTCCACCTCCCCTTCTCATCCCCAATTCACCACCTTCGCCGAAGAGCCCATCCTCCCATCTCCATCTCCACCAGTCCCTCTCATGTCGACGTCCTCCGTCTCCGCGACCTCTTTGCCTCCGCTGGACACTCTTGTCACCGCTTTCCAGCTTCGGTTGGCGAAGGTCCCGTGGAGCTTGCCGATCTCGGAAAGCTGCAGAGAGCCATCTATCACAGCTTCATCTTGGTCTCCGTGTTCTGCCGCGCCATGTTCTTACCCTCCACCGGCGCCGCCATTGAAGAGCGCTCAGATGAGACATCAGCAGCTCTTGGTTTTGAGCATTTTTTCGAGCGGAGTTTCTGGGCGCCAGGTCCTGACCACCATTTGATTGGATTTGGTCGAGCAGTGTCGGATGGGGGATTGACAGCTTCCATTCATGATGTAGTGGTATGTGTGACACTTTTTACTGCACATTTGTTTTTTTCGTTTCCTTAACAAGAAAATTATACTTCTTATTTTTCACTAAATCAAAGATGTTTGCGGAGATCCCAGAAGAAGGAATGCGTAATGGATATCTTTATTTGGTTGAGAATTAGGCGTTAAAGGGATGGGACATGATATGGTATGCTAGTAATTCTATTTTTTTGTTTAATTTATGAGAAGCAGTTGTTATAAATATTCATTGAGCACCAATTTGATAAGAAACACTCACAAGAAGCAATAGGGAAGGGAAATAACGGGAAGAAAGCAGAAGGGAGAGTTAAAATTTCAGTTCTATAAAACAATAATACAACAACACCTTCCTATTTGTGGGCAAAATCTAAAGGGTTTGCTTTCATTGAGAGGGTTCTTTATTGACATGGCCGCATTGCTGAGATAGCGATAAACAACAATTTGAGGATGTCGACGGCTCTAAAAATTAGGAGAATTAGAGAAGAGAAACACTAATTAGGAAAAAATTGCCTTATTCTTTTTTCATTACTTCAATGTTTCTATATAGAGGCTATTTGTAGATTTTTAAGAATTACCAAGTCATTGCCACTAACTTCTAACTATTTAACTACTCTTATTAACCTAATATAAGAATTAATAATCTCACACATCATATCATTACTATTGCTAGGATAGCGATAAATGGCGATTTGATGATGCTGACATTTCTAAAAGTAAAATTGGGAGAATTAGATGAGAAATATAAATTGGGGAGAAATTTAACTCATTGTTTTATCATTCTTTTAAAATCTCTAGATGAAGTCTATTTGTAGATGTACAAGAAGTACTAATTCATTATTACCAACTTTTAACTAATTAATTGCTCATCTTAACTTAATACAAGAACTAATCATCTCACAATATCCTATTATTATTAACCACTTCAAAATGACATCGCCTTTAATGTCTAGCAATTAATGGTCAATGATTTGGGAGTTTTGCAACCTAAATTGTCTGCCAAATTGTTTTGTTGAAGTTTGATTTGATTATGAATGGAGATGGACTTGGGGGTCTATCGAACGGTGTGGTGGCTGCTAGATCATTGAACTTTGGAGGATGAAAAACTCGGAGAATGGAATCAATGTGAGGTGAGAGGAGACTCAGAGAAGAAGTATGCCAAGATGCAACCTCATTTTCCAACTAAATCGTGGTAAAACAATGGGATTCAACTGTTGGATTAGTGCCTGGATAGCTGTCATGAAGATTTATTAAATGAGAAATATGATGTTGATTCTTATGGCACTTATGCATGGTTCTCAACATGAGCAAAAGACCAAATGTTAATTTCAATAACTAAGGATATAATTCTTCATCCATTAAAATTAGATATGGACATGCATGTTACATTAATTGATTCTTGCAAAGAATGGATTTAAGTCTTCAATTGATGATCCCATTGTCCGAGTTTTTAAAGTCTATTGTGTAATTTTTTAGGCTTTTTGTAGTCATTCTCAATTATCTTAAGCTTAGCAACTGATTGGATCAATTTATTTAGTTGAAAGCGCTTCCTCCTTAACTTGTTAGTAAATTTTCTACTCTTCAACACAAATCTTCTCAAGCGTGGTGTGATGTTTACCTAGCTTGCATGATCCATGATATGCCAACAATACCTTTATTTGACTGGTCGTACCAAATTGTGAAGGAGATTGATGATTATTTCTTGAAGATTACTCTTGGCAGTAGCATTCTATTAGTTCTTTTGGAATCTACTCATGGCCAAAGTGATATTAGAGTTATCTCAAATAACAATTAGAAAGTAAATATTATTACTGAAAACAAATATATGATTACAACCAAATAAATTTGAAAGGAAAAACAACAATAGACACGAGACACATACACACCCATAATGAGTTGATGTAGGGGTGATGGTGGTCGGTTACGTGGAGTGGATGACATAGTAAGGGGCCGGAATGGTGATAGGCTTGTTGGTAGGCAGTAATAGCAGCAATACAAGGATTTTGGGGTTGTAGTTTGAGGATGGTAGCAAGCCCGAGTGGCTAGCAGCAAAATGACAATGATAAAATAACAATAGTTACTGTTTTGGGGTGAGAACAAGGTGGGCGCAGGTTTGGAGGCAGCGACAACACAGAGGAAAGGGAGAAGGGTTGGTTTAGGAAGACGAAAACAGGGGTACGTAGAGTTATGGAAGGGGGAAAATAAAGTGGACTGCATGAAACAACTATGGGGGTTGTCCGATGGTCGCAATAGGGGAGGAGGAGGGCAAGTAGGCAGCGGTTGGGTGACAGGAGGCTGGTAGGTTAGTTGGCAGTTGGTGGTAGGCGGCAGTAAGGTGTTAGGCGGCTGGGAAAGGCGACAGGAAGTGTGGGGGTTGTAGGAAGAGCACAAACACTGTGCTCCGGGGTGGCTGCAACAAGTACAACGATGATGGCAACGGAGGGAGGGTTGTAGAGGAAGGAAAAGTCAAGGATAGTTACCACCTCATAATGAAATATAACCAGAGCACCACAGGGGAATACAGAGAAGCCAACAAATGTCAGAAGACACGACAAAAATTGAAAATCCAAACCCTAATACAACATATTTGTAGGAAAGAACTAGAAATGGAGGATAAAATGAATCATGTTGAAAACTGTTGAAAATTAGAAAGGAATCAAAAGAGGAGCCACTCGGTTCGGCCTTATGTGATTCATGCGACCCGAATGCCGCATTTGGTCTAGGTTTCGTGAGATTTTAGCGATAGTCTCTTGAGATTGGGGGAGTTTCGACCTCATCTGTCGAAGCTTCTGTCTATAAGATCGATCACATTGAAGGTAGCAAAATTGACATATTCGCATGGTAAGTTGGTCCCGAAGGCGTTGTCATTCTAAAGCACATCCTGATAGAATAAATATACATTCTCTTTTGACACAACTTGAACTAGAGCTATATATCGATGTTAGACTTTCATAAAGTAACTCTTAAACCATTAAATTTGTAATTTGCCTCTTGCACTCATTGTACTTGGCAAGGCTCACCTAATAAACAAATTCGTCTAGAAAAACTAACTCTCGACTGAAATTTGGACAATTCTCAATATCAACCATCTGGGAGATGCCTGTTTATTTTTCTCTGGAAGGACCTGAATGTCATTGTAGGATTTTTTTTTCCCGCAAAGCTCCTAATGCCACTTTTAACACTGTGGGTCATCCCTTCTGTCTAGCCATCTATCGATAAGTACACGGCTGAACTGAATTTAAAATCCAAATGACCCCATATGGTTTTCAAAAGTAGCTCAAATGATTATCATCTCTGATATGTTGGACTTCCCTCAGTAGAGACAACTTAGATGGTATGCTATATATCTAAAAATTTCAAAATTCTCTTATCTAAGATTGCCTTGTGCTGGTTTCGACTCCTCACACTCATGGCCCTTTTGGATATCCAGTGCTAGTTTTGTTGATGCTTCTCTCAATGACTGCAAAAATATAGTTCAAAGTGCCACAATTTCATATTTTGCATAAATGCTCATTATCTCAGACTCACCCCTTCTAGAATAACTGCGGTTAACTCCATGGGGGTATCTCTTCGAGGCTCAACCCGAATTACGTGCATCTCTCTCTCATCGGTTAATAGTTGACACTTCTTATTTGTGTACTCATTTTTTTCAGTGTAATATATTATTATCCATTTCCTTAACTGTTCCTTGCTCAGTGAAATAAACCGTACTCTAATTTGGGCAATCTGATGCACTGTGTCTAAAACAGTGGCACTTGATGCACTTTTTGGCTGTGACGGATTTGGAAATATTGGTTAGCTTCATCTATTCTCCAGTCTGAATTAGTTTTTCCTCAGGCGAGGCTGGCTTGGATGTTTCCCTGTGTGTATTCCTACTACGTGATCTTAGGGTTAAACTTTATATATAGGATGTGGCGGTCATCCAATGATGTTGCCTCTTCACTTTTGAAACTAGGGTCTGAACGTCATGTCTGTAATGAATTAGTAGGTACTAACACAGTCTCTCTCGTTTATCTTAGACTAAATAATAATTTTACTCTTCTCTTCTCGTTGTTGAAGAATCTTCAAATTGTCCCACAATATAAACACATTTTTATTGGCTAGTTTCACAATTTTGTTATGTGGAATGCCTTAGTACTCTAAAACATGTTCTATGGTCTAGAACCACTCAATGAACTCGTCCGGAATCAAGTGACCATTAAAATATGACAAATCTACTTTTACATCAAGATCTTAGCTTTTTTGATATTTCAGGCCAAATCTTTAAGGCAGTGGTTCTTCATCTATGACATCTGCTTAGTGGAAGGGATTTATCACATTCTTTTGATCTAAAAAGTTATCGTTATGGATACGACGACCCTTCGAAGGAGGTAAGTCTCTGTTGCAGTTGGAGAATTTCTTCTTGCACCTCTTCTGTGATAAGTTCCTGAAAATTTCTTTGTGAATTTCTTATAAGCAGCATTGTGTCATTTCCTCCCGAGCAGATCTCTGGCTATTGTCTCTTTGGGGGCGTGGTTATGATTTGATTTTGGGTAGGTGTCAGGTGTATGGGGCGATGTGGAGTGAGAAAGAAAAATTTTTTGGTTAGGTAGTGGATGATTGAGGTAACCATAGGATAGGACAAGAGTTAGACTAGCTCTGATACCAAATGATACCAGAGTAGCCCAAACAACAATAAGAAAATAAATATTATTACTGAATGCAAATATGTGTTTACTACTAAACACATATCTTGAAAGAAAAAATAAAAACTGACATGACACACAGACGCCCTCGTAAGGGGTTGATCCAGGGGCGGTGGTGGTGGTCGGTTGCATGGAGTGGACTGTGTAGTAAGGAGTCAGAATGTTGGTAGGACGTCAGTAGGCAATAATAGCAGTAGCACGGGGATTATAGGTTTGTAGTTTGGGGATGGCAGCAAGTCCGGGAGGTTGGACAGCGGAATGACAACGATAAAACAACAGTAGTTACTGTTTGGGGGTGACAACAAGGTGGACGCAGGTTTTGGAGGCAACGAAAATGCAAAGGAAAGGGAGGAGGCTTGGTTTTGGAAGACTACAGTTGTGGTACGCCGAGTTCTGGAAGGGGGACAACAAAGTGGACTTTAGCAAACAACTATGGGGTATGTCCGGTGGATGCAGCAGGGGAGGAGGAGGGCAAGGAAATGGCGGCTGGGTGGCAAGAGGTTGGTAGGTTGGTTGGCAGTTGATAGCAGGAGGCTGTAAGGTGATAGGGGGCTAGGAAGGGCGGCTAGGAAGGCGTGGAGGCTTTAGGAACAACATGCACGCTGTTCTGCAGGGAGGCTGCAACGTGTACGATGATGGTGGCAGCGGAGGGAAGGTTGCGAAGGAAGGGATAATCGAGGATAGTTTCTTCCTCGAAATGAGATATAGCCGAGGCACCACTTGGTAGTCTTAGAAGGTGAAAACAGAGACGCCGATGACTGTCTCGACAGAAGACACGAAAAAAACTGAGAATCTAAACTCAAATGCAACACATATATATAAAAGGAGTAGAAAGGAATGATCAAATTAATTGTGCTGAAAATTGGGAAGGAATCGAAAGAGGAGCCGCACGGTTCAGCTCCGTGCCATTCACGCGAACCGGATGCCGCGTCCGGTCCAGGTTGTGGGGGACGCCAACGTCACAAAGTTTTGAAATTACTCTTTAGGCACGATCATGATTGGAGACGACATGAAAACATGATTTCATAACGTGTGGAAAATGAGTCAAATTTTGAATGGATATATTTGAATTGACTTTTCTTGATTAAATTAAATGGATGCAATAGTTGTTTGACAAATCTAACAGAGAAGTTGAGGATCCACAAATTGGTGTGCGTCGAGGTTTGGAAGATCTAGATAGATTGTAGTATGGATGAAGCCTTGACATGACTTGGTGGAGTATTGGAGGGAACACCACTATTTAGGAACTACTAGGAACTACGAAGGATCTGTTAATTGATCTTGGACGAAGTGATGTTAGGAACTTGCAGATCAGATACCTCAATATTGGGAAGTTGAATCCCAATGAGAATTGAGTTGGTGTGGGACGGTGGAGAGAAGGAGAGCTCTCCCAATGTGATGGCCTTGCAATGAAAGATGTGTTGACAATATGGATGATAGCTACCAAAAAGTATCTTGGACAACTTGGGTGGAGTGGTGTCAGAAAGAATTTTGATAGAGCAACTACAATGGTAAGATGGTTTTGAATAGCCATAATGAAAATACTCGTTGATAGGTGATGAATTGAGTGAGGGAGGGGGATAGAACATTTCTTGATTTGAATAATTGTGAGACATGCATTGGAAAATGATAACAAGAGGTGGAGTACGGTGACAATAGCACCATTGATACGGCCCCATTGCTGAGATGACAATAAATGACAATTTGAGGATGTTGACAACTACATAAATTGGGAGGGCGAGAATTAGATAAAAGAAACACAGATTGGGGATGAACTTACCTCATTATTTCTTTGTTCCTTCAATGTCTCCAAATAGAAGTTATTTGTAGGTGCACAAGAATTACTAATTCGTTATCTCTAAGTTCTAATTTAATTAACTGCTTTTATTAATCTAATACAATTACCAATCATCTCAAATATATTATCAATATCTATCCATGCTGAAGTACGCTGTTTTAAGATTTCCTTGGCACCCTTTGCTGCTTTTATTATCTGACAGAATATTTTAATGATAGTTATGAGTATGTTTGTAGCAAATGCAGTCACAGAGCTCTATAGGCAACTTATAAAAGTAAATTCCTTTGACTTCTTCCTTGATTTCAACAATATTTATCATGTTCTCACTTCAGAAATAAATAGTTTTCACCCTGTTCTTACTTCGGAAATAAGCAGCTTATTGTTCTTGTTTTGATCCAACACTTGAGCGTTCAAATTTTGTAATGAATATGCACTCATTTGCAATGTTGCCATTGCTGACTTCTTTACTCTATCAAATACACATTGTTTCTGTTGACAATGGGCTTCCACCTTCAAATCCTTATATTTCATTACTATAATGAAGATAAGTAGCTATATTAATCGTTATGGAAGCCATTTTGACTTTGAACAAAGAGCGTGCGCGCACACACACACATGGAGCTCCCCTTCACGATCATGTACAGCTTTATTTTTGTGCTTTTGTCTTAGTTTTTATCCCTATGCGTGTTTATGTTATGCACATGTTTTTTACTCCTTTTATCTGTTGTCACTTTTTTCTTTCCCTTGGAGTCATG